ATATGAAAATAGTAAGTTTTTTTTCCATTTCACTGAAGTAGATGTTACATTATTAGAGCCTTTTCGGATTCTCTATTCTGCCGTTGTTTATTCTGTCATCGATACAAAACAGCGTTTCTAATATGTCTTTTCCATTTTTTTCTCGCAATGGCCCAGATATGTTCTTTTTCCTGGATCAGAAAACATTCGAACTTTATACACGGACTGATTGCTGAAACTCTATAGTCGGGATTCTGAAGTTAACATTAATCAACAAAGTGACAATTTCGATATTTTTATTAATCATATACATATATATATATATATATATATATATATATATATGTATATGTATATATATATATATATATATATATATATATATATAGAGAGAGAGAGAGAGAGATAGATAGATAGATAGATAGATAGATAGATAGATAGATGCGGATGTGTGTGATATGTGTTGGAGAGGAATTATCAGAAGGCTTGAATTATCAGAAGATTTAAAATTGTGTGTGTTCAATAATCTTCCATCCACAACAATTAATACAAGATAGAGAAATAATGATTCATAAACATCTTGTTTCAAAACATAATAACATTTGATTAGTGTTTTATATAGACAGAGTTGTGTCTCTTTGATTGGTATAGTTCATATTGTAATGAATTGAGTGTTTGGAATTGTATAGACAGTGTTTGAGTTGAAAAAATGCATGTTAGTATTGTTCATTTAACGTCTGACTGGATCAGTCCAGACGGAGTTCCTTTAGGGTCACATTTTGGCGGCGTGTTGAGATGTACGAGTGACGTAGATAAGTTAGGCTCGAGTCAGGAAGAGCAGGAACAGATAGAGAGAATATCACGTGTTTTGATTAGGTAAATCAGAAGTTGCGCCTAAATTGACATGAGTTCTGATTATTGAAACTGACCAATCAAAGTTGGAAGTGAATGATAGTTTATAGTTGATATTTTTGAAAGTAGGATGTTATTTGAAAGATTGCATTTCCTAAAAAGACAAGTGGTTTGTGGGGAAGATCCCACAAGATAGAAATACAAGATCTCATACCAAAATTAAATATATTTCATTCATTTAACGTAGATAATTGGAAACACGTAAGCAAACCTAGTTTCACTGAAACGATTTTCAATTATTTATTTATTTGAGTGCCGGTGTTAATAAAACAGCGCTCGATGAAATTTTGTAACGGTATATATTAATAATTATACCTATTAAGATGCACGAAGTTTGAACTGTAGTTACGTAATTTGAATTTCAATATACCTGGTTATCACAATTTTCGCGTAGTTATATCTTATGATGGGATTACAATTTTTCTAAAATTATATTTGGCAATTAAAATAAGGGATTAATATATGCCTGTAAGAAAAAAAAAATTAAATTAAAAAAGTATTTTTGTGTTGTGAATATTCAATTTTTTTTATATTTTAAAATTATCCAATTAAAATGAGAATCCTTTTTCTTGTTTAAAAAAAAATAAACTTATATTAAAGAAATGTAATTTATATTAAAAATAAAATTTACATTAAAAAATAATCCTGACCAACGTATTTAACCAGATGCTATCTTTATGATCACATGTAACCCTCAATTGATCGATAGTATTTTAAATGCTTCTAAAATAATAAACTTGTTCGGTGTATTGTTTACGTTGTTATTCTTTCCAGATTGTTTAAGATATATCTTATAAAGATTCCACTATTTTTGAAATGATTGTACCCACACCCATCTCAAACCATGGGTCTTGTATGAATTCAAAACACTCTGCTTTTTATCTATATAGTGTGAAGATGTCTCAAAGCTTACTATCGATAGTTTGATCGGCATCGTTTTGGAAAGAATCTATCTCTGTGATTCTCCCCAATGTTGACAAAGAATACTTTCTGAAGATTGTACTGTGATTAGGCAAAATCGAAAGAATTAGCTTGAAGTTTATAGTTGATATTTTTGTATGTGATAAACGTGATTTTTAGGATGTTTATAGTTGGTAATATGGTTATTAGTAATCAAAACTTTCGTCGTACAGAATTGTTGTTTTAATGACATCAAAAGAGGTAAGACAAATGGGCTAAAACGTCCTCAAATTATAAAAAACACGAAACATCGGTCAACTGGAAGAATATCCCTAGATTGCAAAGATCAAAGAGAATTCATATACCTAAATATTTATTTTTGATTGATAGCGACACGGATTGAGGAATCGAAGAGCCGAGATCTCGAATCCAAATACTTAAATATATTTCATTGGCAGGACATTTGGGGATCTAATGGAATTCAAAACCTGTGGGCGGTCGTTTGGGGACCTTGGCAATGTAGTGCACCAGGTCTATGTATTTATTGTAATTGATAGATAATTATTGGAAACACGTAAGCAAACCTAGTTTGGCAATCAAATGCGGGATTTTCGAAAATTATTTATTTATTTTAGTGCTTGATTGGAAAGTGAAAAATAAGTATCTTCTCTCTTTAAAATCGGAACAACAAAAACAGCGCTCGATGAAAAGCAAATACAAAAATAAAAATGATAGAACAGATGATAAGTAGCAAACGTATCATATTTCTTATTTCTGATATATATATATATATATATATATATATATATATATATTAATAATTATATAAACCTGGGGTCACAAACAAGTATATGAAACCGAAAATAAATATATCACCTCTACCACGGCACGAAGTTTGAACTGACCGTTACGTAATTTGAATTTCTGGGAAATTGCGTGTTATATGACCAATTTGAACAAGGCCTCAATCGGTCACGATGAATTTTCTGGCACAGCTATCGACGGTGAGATTCAGTCCCGTGTCTCATGGTCGGAATGCGAACGTTCTAATGACTCTGCCACTTGCCGATATATATGTAATCTCCCCCAAAATTTCATGGAACGGTAAGTGCAATTTATTTGTTTTTGCTATTCAACGAAGATATTTGAGTTTAACAGGAAAAGATGAATATCAGACAAGAGTTTACAATTTCAGATTTTATCTTCGGGTGTTTACATTTAGATGGGTTAAAAAAAAACATAGATAATACTACGTTTTGTTTGAACCCACCCATTTTTCAAGTGAGCAAAACTATTGGAACACGTGAAAGACAGATGCTGCTTGTTGCCCAGGTGTTGCATTTCAGATAGATAATTTAAACTTTAAATAGCCCTGAATTACTACTACTCTTGGTTTAATTTTGGGTTTGAACTGTAAAGACTGTATTTTCTTTTAAAATAGAAAAAACAACATGAAGACGAGAAAGCTTTCTATGGTAGACAATCAAGCCATTTTACTGCTGAGGAAAGAGTGAAAATCAATCGCGACCGATGGACAAATATTGGTCATAGACACTACGACAAATTGGAATACCCTGAAAAAGGAAAAAAAAAGCTACTGGTGTACAACAGACAGATAACTATTCGAACAAGAAAACAATAACAATGGATGACAGAAACATTAATACCGGTGTGAGGAAAACTCCAAAAACGGTCGGTGACATCAACAGCTTGCAGATGTGAAGAATTCACAATGCATCTGTCGATGACGAAGGGTTTTCTTGCTCAAGGTCACTGTCTCTGTTCTCAAGAACAGAGATAAAGAGGCTATATAATAAGAGGCAAAACACTCATTAACAGCAGGATTGGGGCGGCCAGATTGAAAATTACAAGGCACCCCAGAGATGAATGATAAAAGGTATGGAAGAATTGTTTTTATGAACTGATGAGACCAAAATTAATCCCCAAGAAAGGGATGAAAATACAACAGTGTGGAGAAATAAAGGATCTGTTTATGATCCAAAATATACAAGGCCATCTGTGAAGCATGGTGGAGGTACTGTCTTGGTTTGGGCTTGAATGACTGCTTTTAGAACAGGCTCATTCATATTTAGTAATGATGCAACTCCTGATACTAGCAGCAGAAGGAATTCGGAACTCTACACAAAAATTTTGTTTGCCAATTTACAAGGAAATGCATCCAAACTAATTGTACGGAATTTTATCATGCAGCAAGACAACAACAGAAAACACTATTAAAACAACTAAGACTTCATCACCGGGCTATATTTAGTCGTCCGCCCACGAGGGCGTCATGTGGCACAAGGCCTTTTTAAAGTGGGCATTTCCGAGCCATTAGGCTCGGCCAAAAAATAGCCCATTTGAACCCGTATAAACGGGTTCAGGGCCGGTTTTACGCCGAAGGGCGGAGTCTCCTTCGGGTTCCTCTCCGTCCGTAGACAGAGAGTTGAACCGAACCGTCGCTCAGAAAGTGAACGACGGACTCATTACCGGACTATAACCCAATGGAGAATGCATTTCATCTCTTGAAGACAAGACTGCAAGAAGAACCCCGCGATACGAAATAGAACTGAAAGAGGCTGCATAACAAATGAAGAATGCAGCAGTTTGGGGACATCAGTGTATCGCAGGATTGAAGACGTTATTGCTAGGAAATGTTATGCAACGAAATATTGACTTTTATTTAAGTCTATCTCTTCCTTTAATTTTGCTTCCTCAAAAATGGGATGATCTTATACAAAAAGGTGGTGTGTACTAAGCTGTTTAACACATCTCAATACAAATGTCATGAAGTAAAAGCTGAAACTGAACTTTTGTCTCATATTCTCCGTTTGATCTTAAAATAACATTTCTTCAGTGAACAACAAAATAATTCCCATTCCAATACGTGTCAAAGTGACTGTGTATATATATATATATATATATATATATATATATATATATATATATATATATATATATATTATTAATAGAGTAGACAATTTGGTCAATAAAACAAAGACAAACGAAAGGGTACCGATGAAATCTCTACGAGAGACATTTATTAATATTAACCAGGTTATAAAAATGAAGGCCGACTTTGTTTTATTGACAACTCATCTTCGCTATTTTATAAACTATATGAAACACACGTACGCTCAATAGGGAGGCTTGGCAAAATTCGCTGTCCGCCGACCTTTCTGAGTCTTCTACGCCAATTTCACGAGGATATGCTCGCCAAAGTATCCGTAAAGAGTTCTTCCTCAGAACAGTTCAGTGTGCATACGGGAGTTAAACAGGGCTGTGTCCTTGCTCCCGTGCTCTTTAACATCTATCTGTTTTCTGTGACACTTCTCTCTCGTTTACGTACGGAACTCAACGACGGAATACGTATCCAATATCGCTTTGATGGAAGTGTCTTCAATGCTCGACGTCTCAAAGCTAAGACTCTGACCTCTAACATTCCTGTCTATGAAATCCAAAATACCGACGATGCTGCCATAGTTTCTCACGAGGCACTCTCAATACATCTCTCCCTTACTTCATTGCATCAGGCTTATTTTCACCTTGGTTTTACTTGGATTGATTTCAAGACAACTAGTAGAATTAAAAAAAAAAACGCTATTGCATTTATATTTTCAACTGAAAATTAAGTCAAGTACTATCAAGTGTAAAAATATTGTTTTTATTGTTGTGCTGACGGATTTAATCATTTTCTTTTGATTTCTTGTGACAGTTGTGTACGTTTGCGTGACGTTTGCAGAGAGGCTGTAAAAATGATCTGATCAGTTTCTACTCAAACTGCTCTACTAAAATTAAAACTGGATTTGTTATAGGATTCTATCTGAGAGCATTAAGAATCTGCAGCCCCCAATATTTACCTGAAGAAGAAACATACATAAAAAAGACGTATTCAAAAGCCCACAATACCAATATCATTTCATCCACAACGCAAGAAATAAGGCATGCAAAATATACAGCCGACAATAAAAACAATATTTCTACACGTGAAAGTACTTGACGTGATTTTCAGTGGACACTATAAATACAGTAGTGTTTTTTAAAATTTTTCTAGCTGCTAAGGACATATTGTTTTGTTGTTAATAGTTACTTTTTCTAAATAAAGTAATTTCGTTTTTGCCTTGAAATATCCTACATTGGACGAAACGCATCGGTTAATAATACAGTTTTTACAGGAAAATAGATTTTGGAAAAATCCGCGGCGTATATTTATAATTTCATAAGATTAGATAGCGGCACTTTGTTTACAGAGAGTGTGTGGATTGCTCACACGCGAGCGTGCGCGCGCGCGAGAGAGAGAGAGGATTTCAAAATAAATATCTGTATATGTAATATTGTTACTTATATATGACAGAAGCTAGCCATATAATATTCCAAGCTTTGCCTTATAAACGTAATTAAACTGAATTAAAACGGTATAAATATAAACCAAGACAGGCGGTCGATTTATTTTTGCTCTGTGAATATGAGAATTCGCATCGCTACTGCCCTCCTTCATCATTAAGGAATCGCGATCGATCAAAGAAGGAGGACGCCCGGCCAATCGCCATCAGATCTTCGTTTGTCTCAACAGTTTAGCGAGCGATTCAAGGCTCCACTCAGGCGAAAGAAACACGGCCGTCCGCTGTTCACGATACAATGTCGTTCGTGTGAATTATTTAGAAGTCGAGTTCTCTATTATATCCCCGTTTTGTATAATAGCAGTTATAATGGTGTTTTAGGTGGGCGACGGGTAAGGTGTGAATGAATGCCCACTTGAAATGTTCGTGTGCAATGCAGATGGCGATTTCAGTTATTTGTCTGATTTTTTTTTAAAATATTGAAACACCCGTTAGGAATCTGCCATTTGTCTTTCACTAAAAAAAAACAAGTGTTAAAATATTTGAAAATATTGCAAGGTTTAGATTAGTTTCATAAAGCTGAATTTATCGTAATATAAAGAAAGAGCTTGGGCGGTTTCAGTTTCTTGGTCTTTAAATTTATCCGTTATTACTCGTATTGTTGAAACTGTACGTAAAAATAAATATCCAGAATTGTCACGATTTTTATATTGCTCGCAGAAAATTCTCTCCAGTACATCTATTTTACTCGAAGAGAGTTGTTGCCTGTCGTCAAAGATCGGTGGTGGCTATTTAATACACCGGGTTGTAGGCGGGAAAATAGAGTGAATATTAATTTTATATGTACTGGCTTTGGGTTAGTTTTCTTACCAAAAGGATTTAATATATACTTGTTTTAAAGATCTATTTTGTTTATATAATGGATAGGATGGTCGCCATTTTATAATTTTAAATTTTGCGCATGCGTTGCTTGTTTTAAATTTTGTTGACAGCGCAGTTATACGAGGGTCACTTGGGCACCATCTCTGAGAAAAAGAGAAGGATGACTCAACTGACAGAGGCTTCCTCAACAGTAACCGAAGTGGTGCAGAAGATTCGAAAACAGTTGGATGAGTCTAATGGTGATTACGAATGTAAGGCGGTGCAGAAAACTCACTCTCATCGTTCTGATAAGAAAAAATAAACACCTGAATTTGTTGGCGAGAGACTTAAACTCATTACGGATGCCTATATAAAGTGTCTTGAGGTGGTAGTGATGCTTTAGATAAAGAGAGTAGCTGCTGGAAGACTCTATATCTGGCAACAAGGTTCTGTCCCATGCCCGCAAACATGGCTGTCAGATAATTTTTTCGATAACATCAGCCTTTATATTTTGGTTACCTTACTCACTAGACCTGCAACCCCCGATATTATAATGTGTGGTGTGCAGTTAAGTGAGAGACCAACAAAAATCCTTCAAACATCAAAGAGGAACTGAAGGCATGGATTATGGCAGTATTTACCAGCTCCATAGACAAGACCGTCCAAAAGAGTTGCCGGATATTCCGAAGTCGTCTGGGGACCGTGTTTGAAGGCAATTGCGGTTTTATTGAATGAGTTTGCTATTTAGTATTTCAAGATATTTTTGTGCAATTCTGGTAAATATATCGTATAAAACGAGATGCCATTGCTATTTTCAATTTTGCGTAATTTAGACAATAATAATTTATCCGTCGCACGCTGTATACGATTATTTTAATTATTTTTTTTTTTCATTTTTGCAACGAGGTTCACTTTACACAATGCTTGAGATGTGAAAAAGTCATATGATTACAGAATAACTGGTAAAATTAATGCCGATTTGTGTGGACTGACTGATGTTATCCGGCGAGAATGCGAAGCAGTACAGCATGTCGTTTGGATATTTCTAGCCGAGCGTTTTGTGTATTGGTGCTTATTCTCAATGACGGTGCCCAACTGACTCTTCTATACTGTGCAGTCTACAAAATTTAAAAAAAAAACAAAAAACAACGCACCTGCGTGAAATTAAAAAAAAATATAAAACTGTAAAAATTTGCATATCACAACCTTTATTTTCTCACTGAAATTTCTCACTGAAATTAAGCAATGATTTCCCCCACTCTCCACGCAATAAAAAAGGAATAGTCTACATTATTTACATTATACGGACTATTGTCCTCATCTTTTTCGCCATATTTATCACAACGTTTCGGCCGATGTACGCTCCGGCCTTCTTCAGGTGGTTGGAATGTTGCATACATACACCCCATATGTATGTATGCATACATACACACCACATACATATCTACATAAATATACATACATATACCCTACACATATGCCTATACATACATAACCACATAGATGTATCGATACAGATACACATACATACATAAACTTACGTACACACACTCACACACACACACACACACACACACACATATATATATATAAATATATATATATATATATATATATATATATATATATATATATATACACACATACACATACATACATACACAGCTACACACGTAACCATATATATATATATATGTGCATACATACACACATACAAGTATATATATATATATTTATACATACAAATATATATATATATGCATATATATGCATATATATACACACACACACAACACACACACACACACACACATATATATATATATATATATATATATATATATATATATATATATATATATATATATATATATTGCCTACATACACACGCACATATATGTGTGCGCACGGGCGCTACGTGCATGCAAGCATCCTCACATCCTAATACAAGCAAATAAATACTTCCCTATATAAACATCTACATATACATACACCAAAATTGTTGTATGCTTATTATTACCATATGGGCACATAAATATTAGCCTAATTGTAAGGATATATAGCAACACCGATATGTCCATATATATATATATATATATATATATATATATATATATATATATATATATATATATATATAAATAATAAAATAAAATTTGTATAGAGAGACATCGGGTATTAATTCAAATATAGATAATTTAGACATTCAGAATTTCCATGAACAGCTTTCTTTCTTTCGTTTTTTTTTTTATGTATTGAGTTATTTTGAGATTATTTCTGTGTCTGCATTTAAAAATCATTTCATTGTGTTGTTTGAGTAATTCTCAGGGACCATTATTCTTGATTATGAGGATTTTCTCTTTAATGCAGAGGTCACATCTGTCGCTAAAGTTTTTAAGAGATCGTGCTGTAGAGATAATTCTCCATTTCACCTCTGGGGTCATGACAGATACCAATCGTATTTCGATAGCACTTCTGTCGACGGGATTCATTAGTGAAGGAATGGCGATGTTTGAATAAGCGCTGTTTCCGATTCCCAGCAGATATTCCTATATAGATCTTTTTTCGTTTTTTTTTGCATTCTCTTTAATGGAGATTGTGGCTTCGTACAATACGTTTTCTGTCATGCAAACTCAAGTTTTGTGTCGATTAAATGTGATGATCGACTTTTCCAATTTACGAATAATCCTGCTCAGGCAAGTACATTTCGGGACGAAAATACTGGAAATATGGTACTAGCACATGTGTAAGTAATTTGAACTGGTAAAATTAGTAAAAAAAATTATGCCGTATCATTTAAAAAAAATGTTAAATAAACTGTTAGAATTACGTGTTAAAATCCCGTAGAACGCCTTTTGGGATCTAAAGTCGTAGAAGTAAAGAATATATATATATATATATATATATATATATATATATATATATATATATATATTAATTTTCTTAGAGAAGCAATGGATTTTTGTATAAATGTGATTAATAAACGAAATATCTGCTAAATTGCTTTGTTTATGTTTATGAATGAAACTGAGAAAATATCGAGAGTCTGTATTTAGAAGAATTTCGCTTAAAGGCACTATTCATCATCGCCTTGACAGCTACGTTCTTTGCAGCTCAGTCGGCCTAGAGCACGTCGACTCTAACGATGGTACGCTCTGTCCAATGCGACGTAGTTTTGAATACTACCGGATTATGCACAGATGTCTTTAATAAGATTTCTCAAAGATATAAGCCGGTAGAGGAAATTTAATAAATAAATTATTTAATAAATAAATTATTTAATAAATACATTATTTAATAAATAAACGGAGCGACTACGCAAATATGAGTATCTACTAAAGATTAAACAGATCATATTTTCATTTGGATACTTTCATATTCACGGACAAGATTTTGGTGTCATTATTGAATAAAGAGAAAAAGTACCGTGTTGATACATACTAATTATTCCAAATACTTTCTACATTAGCATGATGTCATCCTCAGGGTATTTTATTTCCAAGACAAATATTGTATTGTTCATCATTTACAAAGACAAAACTGCTGTGTTCATGTGAAACTTCAAAGTTTTAATAGTAGAGTGAAGAACACTGAGTTTAATGTCACTAGCTTGAGTAAATATGACACCAAAAACTTGGTCGTGAATATGAAAGGATACAATTGGAAATAAGTAGACAAAACTAAATTGTGCAATGAAACATGTGGCAATGAATACATTCTACCAACATCAAAAAGCACGAAACGCGTCACTAGAAAACCATTGTAATACATTTCCCGCCTATACACACACACACACAAACACACAAACACACACACACACACACACACACACACATATATATATATATATATATATATATATATATATTGTATGCGAGTTACTTAGCGGAAAGTGCACAATGTCATTGATAGAGCTCACATAAAATGTTGTATGGATATGAGATTGTGAGCCTGCGTATCACGCTTTTGCGATAATCAGACAAATTGGTTTATATTTTCATAACTGGATCTATTTAAATACGACTAATTTTAAAAATATATATATATATATATATATATATATATATATATATATATATGTGTGTGTGTGTGTGTGTGTGTGTGTGTGTGTGTGTGTGTGTGTGCAAATATATGGATATAGATCCGACAGTATGAAGAAAATATATACGGAAAAAATAAACAAAAAATCCTTATATACAATTATGCTGTTTTAATGTTAATATGTCAACGTCGGACGTTTCGGTCTAATAAACCATCTTCAGGACATATTCATAAATATAACATTATCAATACATGACAAAGACAAAACAGCATAATTGTATATAAGGATTTTTGTTTGTTTTTTCCGTATATATTTTTCTTCATATATATATATATATATATATATATATATATATATGTTTGAATAAAAGACAGACCAACTTAAGATTCCATGTAATAAGCTATTTCACCATAACCCCTTTAACAGGGTTCTGGATCATCAGACTTTACTTCCAAAAGCTGAAATGAAAAATGAAAAG